TTCTCATTTGAGAAATCAGTATAGTGTTGAAAAATAATGTATTTGTGGGTCAACATTTAACGCAGCATTATGCAAAATCAATTTCAATGTTATTTCATTCGAAAACGAAACAATAAGATGAATTGGTACACGATATCGGTTTGAAAAATGTTTTTTTTTTTTTTTTTTTTTTTTTTATCATTACAAGAAGCTCAAGATAATGTTCAGTTCGAAGATAATACTATGATGCATGGCTTCGGATGATAAATGGCACTTGAGAGTAAATAAAATTGAATTGAACAATGTTGATATTCATTCACAACTTCATTTTTACTTATATTTCGATAAGAGATGTGACATCAGAAAAAAATAAACATGCATTAATATTTCCTGAAAATGTCGAGGACACAAATTGGCCTAGATTGCCTGATACCCTTCATAATACTTTTTTTCCCTCGTTGGAAAAGCAAAGAAATATTGAATAACGGATTTAATCTTGATTCCTCATTCGAAACAAATTTTTTTTTTAGTTCTTAGAAAATATTGTTTAGTACGGTTTCATTTCACCAGATTATCTTGTAAAAACAGTGTTTAAAACTATACAGTTTACTTGGTAAAAAAATTTTAAGAACTGTATTGTACGCATCTATCAATGAAATATATTGTTTCAAGTGATAAATAAATTAATAAGAGTTTTCAAATGACAATCTTATATAGTCTTTGGTATCTGGGCTCTTCATCAAAATTTTTATAGTTATATAGAAAAGTAAAATTATTTTATAATTTATATAGTGTTACACGTTTTAAAAAATTTTCACTTACTTTAAAAATGATTATCCGCAGTAATATCTAGTAAAGATGCTAATTTCAACGCATACATACAATAAATTTCATACTTTGAAACACATAGGTACACACCTTCCGGTATAAATTAACAAAAGAGACTATACCAAGAAAATTATAAATTTCAAGGGCAAAACCGACGTATGCGTGGACGTAACCAAAAATATGTATTTAAAAATCGTACAAACAAGTGACTAATTCACCTTGGAAATTTACATACAGAGTAAATTCAGAATAAATTTTGTTTCACATGTCTTTCAAAGTTTGGTAAAGTACTATCGGCACACAAAGAAAGGTGAAATATATCTTTCGGAGCTAACCAGCCTTGCGAATTCCATGATCCCACAGGACATTTTGCAAATTAATATCCGTAGGAAGGAATTCCGTTAATCCGTGCTCGCGACGAATCAACTCTATCTCTCTTGTAGGGTAGGGTCCTTCATCGCAAAAGGACTACGTGTATTAAGCTGGTGCAAGCATAACCTTCAATTCACCCGTAAACCAAAGCTCGGATTTCTCTCTCTCTCTCTCTCTCGCTTCCCATAGTCATCCAAAATTCGGTACTGATCTTCGGAATACGTCTAGCTTAGCTAACCTTAAGTCGAGTAAGATCCAAAGACTTAATTTATTATTAACTTGATTCCAGGGGGTTAAAGTGTATTTTTGTTTGTTCAAAGTTGTTAGGGAATTATAAAAAAATAAAATAAAATAAGGAATAAAATCTTGATGGATTCACCTAAAGCTCATCTACGTTATTCGTAATGTTAAAAAAAAAATTTGTTTTTGGGATTATGAGAGTACGTTTGCATATGCATCATCAAAAATAAGTGCTGTTGTGGATGATGCATTTAATGACGTGATAACAATTTATTATAAGAAATTTATTACATTTTATTTGAGTAAAATGATGCTGCCTAATGACTTGTAATAAACAACCAATTTACTTGTTTTACTTTTCCGCTTTTTTACTGAAAAAAAAAAAAAAAAAAAAACAGTGTTATTTAGCTTTAGTCATATTTTATAATTGGCTTCAAGTTTTTACTTTATACTTTACTATAGCATTATTTTTCAAACATGTTATTAATCATTTTTAAAATGTTCAAAATATCGAGATCCATGATAAATGCAATGTTTTTAGCTTTACAGTTTTAATCTTTGATCACACAAATTTTGTTTTTAGATTAAAAGATTTTTTTATGCTTGAAGGGAGATGAAGCAGTGAAGAAAAAAAAAACTAAGAAATCCACAAAATATCTCATGAACGAAATAAGATATTGACACAATTCAAAATGGAAATTGAAGCTTTTGGGCATAGGAATAAAGGAAAAATATTAAGAAGTTATGAGAATTACATGTTACAGTGTACCGTCTATTTAAAGTTGGTGCTCTGATGGAAAAGTCCTAATAATATGATACTAATTAGCTTGTAAGAATAGCAGACGATGGGTGAATGAAAACTCAATGATATGATTTTAACACTGTTTAAATGATTTCGTAGGCTGCCTTATAAAATAATAATTAGTTAATAGGTGTATTTTGTTAATTAATGATAATTTAAGCTCCGTTGATATAATTTTTTTAAAGATAATTTCGTTAATTTTAAAATAAGTTTAAATGAAAAATTTAATGATAGTTTTAGTCATTTGATGCATTATTTTAGAAAATCGTTACATGTAATTATGTGATAGACAAAAATAATGGTCTTATTTGTTATCAAAGTTGTAATTAAAACAGAAAAAAAATCCTAATAATTTTAA